TATTTTTTTAAAAAGTAGCATTCTTCCTGTGATTTGTCCCCCCTACAATCATGTACTGAAGAAACACTGAAACAACATGTAGTGAGATCATCCCACCCATTCCAAAAAAGCACTGTATTTTCACATAAGAAATTAATGAACAAAGTTATTTCTATAGAAAGGGGATTTATGTTTTTGTACTTGGACATCTGTCACTAGCTACATCTCTGGGATAAAACCATATACAGAATTTTAAAAAATTTCAGTGTAACTGCAGAAATTCTTCCATACAATTCCTTTTAAGTTCAATGGTCACCCTTAAAAGAGCTGCAGTAGTTGTAAAGGGAAAACTTACTAGCCTTCTGTAACTTTCTTTTAGAAGCAATACTTTAAATACTACTGTGATCAAAGACATCAAGAAATGAACATGAGTAAAGACAACAAATAATCCTGCAGATACAGCTTCTGAAGAACACAACTAAGAACACTGTAAATTATTTACTTCCCCCCTCAATATTTTGAGCATAAGCGATTCTTGTCCCTATGGGTTTTTAACTCTGGTTCACATGCAAGAGATACAAAGCTCCTATACATAAGTTTTAGGTTTGGTTTTGTCTGCTTTTATACTTCTTAGCCTCTCTTACCTCCTAGAGCATATAGCATGTTTTGGCAAGATTTCCAAAAAAAAAAAAAGATTTTGATGTTGTGAACTGTAGTAAACCAGGACATCTTTCAGGACAGCATGAGAGTATAAAGCATGAAGAAAAGTTTATTCAGACTGCAGGTAGCAAAAGCTGAGACTGCTGTAATTGTACTGCAGACTACACCTGTTCCCTAAGTAAGGCACTCCCTGCAAAGATATCACCAAGAGATTTCATTAGTCTACCAGGCATTCAGATACACAAGACATGCCCAGAAAGAATGATGGGAGGAAGACATTAAAATCTTTTTTCCATCTTACGCATAAATAAGTATTTCACTGTAATTCTAGACAAAAGCCTGCCACGCAACTCCATGATCTCTGCTAGAACTGTTTGTACTTAGTCATAACCTGTTTTGACAATAGTTTGGGGGGAAAAATAAAGCAAGCAAAAGCTACTTTCCTGATACCACACACAAACTGAGATAATCACAGACAATACTCTAGGTTTCTTTCAAAAATTGCAAGGGTGCACTGGCAGCCCTGCTGATGCTACTTATTTATGCATAATTAACACGCTGGAACAGCAAAGCTGTCAAGCTGCTACTGAAAAACCTCAATCATGCTTTTATCTTTATGGGTGCAAGCTTTAAGAATGTGTTTTTCTACCCCCTGAACTGGCAAACACTTTGAGAAACAAGACTCCTCCAAAATTCATAAAAGACTGACCTTCATAAAACATCTGACCCTCAAAATGTAAAGATAATTCAAATATTCGACACAGGTGTCATTAAGTACTATGTTGTGACAAATCACCAAGCAATGTCTCAATTTCAAGCAGGTACAATATCACATGGGGATGTGAACAGGCAGGACCACTCACTGTTCAACCACAGCTATTTCTCCAGCTCAGTCACCAAAAAGCTGTGCTACCCAACTTGCCTGAGTGAGTTCTGCAGGAATTCGCCAATTCTTCTGCTCATCAGTTACAGATTTTTAGAGCAGTAGTTCTTTAAAACTGCTAAGTTGAGCTCAACAAAAGTTGAGAGGCTTCAGGCTAATTGCTCTCCCTCACAGGTATAACTTTTAGAAGTATTACAGGATTACTTTCTTCCAAACTCTTGCCAAAGTTGCTTTCTTGAGGTCTTAAAGCTTAACAATAGATTAAGAAACCAGTCAACCAACACAAACCACAGAAGATTTCGGTTATGTCATGTTCTTTCCTTTCCCATTCAAGTATTTTTGTGGGTTGCTTTGTGGTGGTGTTTTGGTTCCGCCACCCCCAACAGCTTTTCTAGGAGATGGGACTTTGAGAAGCAAGACTTAACTTTTCAAGATCTGACTCCACAAATGAGAAAAGGTAGACATCAATATTCAAGAACCGGCTCCTGCCTTCGAATGCCGACTAGCTCGGTGGTATTTTATTTGCACATCAAAAATCAGAATGAGGCAGATGCTGTCAATTATATAGCTATTACAGCTGCCAGGATATTGAGTTAGCTTTTGAAACTCAGGAACAACTCTAAACACAGTGTAATGTATTTCAGTGAGAAGAACCTCTCCAAAGGAAGCAGCTCTTCTCAGCAAAGCAAGCCAGCTTGCTGTTAGAAGAAAAAAGTAGATGTGCTTTCTCCTCATCTTTCTCCAGAAGGAGGAAAGAAGGCAGGAAGCAGAGTATTTCAAAAGAATGGCAGCAACAGCACAAGAGCAGAGAAGCAAATTGGATAGGCACAGGCACTCCCAAGATTGGACAGCAAAGCAGAGCAGACAGTAGAACACTTAGACAAGTCAGAAAGCAGTTTTTAAGGTTCAAATAGCAGAGGTAAATTCAGAATATTCTGAAAAGAAAGAGGCATGCTACTCCTTAAATGGCTAGAAAGCTCAGAATTACTTCTTTCTGTGTAAGGAAGACACCTAAAATGAGCTAACTGGGATTCAATTTGAGAGTAACATCGCACTAATTAGCTAGTGTCATCAGGAAGATACCGCTCACCACTAATGGAAAAATAAGATTTTTTTTTTTTTTTTTTTTACTCAGACTTAAAAGCTCAATCTCTGTCATCTGCATGACTGACAATAACTACATTTGATTAACAACCTTGACCCACAAAGATACCTCATTTAGTGTTGGTCTCATAAGCCTGGGATAGCAACTTGAAGCGGTATTTCAATATCCTCCACTACGTTATTTACTACTTAAAAAAAAAATACAGTGAGCAAAGGCTACTGATGAAGCAAGGTATTTATGTGTTAGAACATACTGTATGCTGTCAGTATGTCATTTTGTTGTTTGCTTTCAAACATTACTATGTACACAATACAAAAACATTTCATTAGATGGGCTGCCCACACTTGACAAATTATCTCACTGCCTTGATGTTTCTTGTCTGTTTACTGCTTCCATGTACTCTCCAATCTGAAATTTCACAGCCATTTCACAACTGAGCCCATCTGTTCTACCTGCATAGCACAGTGGGGTCCTGATCCACGACCAAGTCCACAGGAGCAGACAACGTTGTGCTTGCTCTTCACAGCACAAGACTGACTCGGTAGATACACAAAATACTTTCCCAGTCCCACCTCAAGTCTAGATTTTTAGAAAACAGCATTTACAAAAGCTCAAAAGAAACAGAGAGTTTTCAACTGCTTCCTCTGTAATATTTTAACAAATCTGAGTTAGCTGTTTTCCCAAAGGGTATTCAACTTGCACACTGAGGCTTTGTGCCAGGAACTGAAAAAACACCAAAACCATCATTTCATCACCTAACATTGGTGTTATTTATCTGTACAAATTACTAATGAAAGTGTTGCAAAATGCTCAAGAAAGCTGACCCTCACATACATTTTCAAACATCTGGAGACCTTTCCCCATCAGTAGAACCTATAGTTCATCATGCAGCTAGAATAAAAGTGTTTGGTCATGAAACAGTGAGAAAAATCCACGAGGCAATGCAAATTTGAGCTACGAATCTTCATTGTTCCTACTAAGTCTCAGTCTGTGAATAAATTACATTAAAGCTAGATTTCATTGCCCCAAATGATGTTTAAGAGAGCAGCTAAAAAACAGAAGGCATTTCTTATTGCTGGAATACAAGTAGCAGTGCCCTGAAGCAAAAACAGATGCATATGACAAGGTTAAAAACGTTTTTTTAGGACAAGAGCAAACTACAGCAGGCACTGGCACAGACTATTTGGAGTAGAGCACAGCCAGTTCCCAGCAGCAAGGATCTACCTTAAGTTTTGATAGCATTCCATTAAATTACTTTTAACAAAAATGGCTTAAGGTTATTTGGGGTTCATTTCTTGGCATTTCTTTTCAGGTTAGGACTGCACTTTTGAAGCAAGTCTCCAGTCACTTCCTCTGACTATAGTTTTGTTTGTACCACAGCATGCTCTTGGATCACCATCCAGATTCCTTTTGGATTACACTAAATCAGAAGACATGATTTAGGTGCACTACTAAGGCTCTTTAGCCACAAATAGGCACCTATTCCAGGTGATCAAACTAGAGATAGTCCAAGTAAGACAGAAAACCTTGAAACATGTGCAATGTTGATGTCAGGTTCTCAGCACCTCTTTCAGTCTACAGATCCACTCCTCTCAATCCACATTACTTGTCAATACACAGACTTAGTATTTTAAGATTTTAAGATATTTTTTTTTCCACACACACTAATGTCTTCCAAACTGATGCTTCCCACTGTATTTCAATTGAATTATTTCAGCTAAAAAGACTGAACAATGGTTCTGTTGCCTTTCTGAAGTCCATAGGCTATTCAGTTCACCATGCATGCTGACGAAAAACTCACTCTCAGGGTATGCTTACGTGAAAAGCTAATTTGAAAAACATTAAAACTTCTTACAGATTAGTAATTTGCACAACAAAAAATAAATTGCTTCCAGAAATAATTTACATTACACCAAACAGCAGTCTTGACAGTCAACCTAGCGTCACCTAGCTTTGTCATAAAGGCAAGTATAACCACTTCTGTGGAGATGCACGTGGTCAGAATAAGTAACTGCTCCACCCATTGCAAAGGCAACTTCTTCCCAGTAGACAGTACATTTCAGATAAATAATAAAAAGGACTTGAAGGAATTCAGGATGAAAACTAGCAAGACTAGTAAAGTCTAGGTTAACTCTAACAAGAGAGCAAGTAAATTGAACTGAAACTAAATAGCTTTTCAACAGTTCTTGACATCTGTTTTCCTTCCAGCAACAGAAACAATGGTTACTGTTAGCAGGTTCATAGTTGTTTTTTTTGTTTCAACATTCTCCAAAGAAAATCTCTAGAATCTATACAGTACTGGGAGAACGCCTTGTCAGAAAGAAATCTTTAAAGTGTTCCCTGAGGGAGTGACAGCTATCATCTCAGAATGCACTATCCTCCCATTTTCCTCTTGGAAGAAAATAAACAGAGTTTAAAAAGCTGCAAAGGTCACATGGGTTAAAAATTCCTAAAGCTGCTTTTTAAGTGCAAAAAAATTGACAGAATCATAAAAGTGATGTAATAACTAATCTGATCTATTAATGTACACTGGTTACATTTCATTGGTATGTAAGAAAATACTTAAAAATCCTGTTGTAGATACACAAGCACTTACATTTACTGAAAACACCTGCATATCATTTCGACAGTCGAATCCAATATGGAGAAGAGTTACATCTCTTATGATTAAGTTCTTACTTTTTGACACATAAGTATTTAGTGTTGATGATTACAATAAAGGACTAGAAAAAGCAACCAGAAGCAGTAATTTTATTAGTTACATTACTAACTATATCCACTGGATAAATATTATAGCTGCACTTATCAACAGAAAGTTGAGGGCAGAAAGCATGAAGAAAAAAAATTTTAAAACCCCACAGCCTGAAGGGGAGCACCACAAGCACTTACTCTTTGACTCCCGCCTAAAAACATTAATGTTCATATTAAAAGTGTTTCTAAATGTGACTCATGCTTCAAGATGAACTAGCCAAATAATTTTGCAGACTACGAAGGAAACATAACTGTAACTGAACGCTTAAAGTACTTTAAAGAGTATCAAAGAGATGAGGATTGCTTCAACTTCACTTACCCTTGCATTAAATAAGGGAACTGGTGGCTTGGTATAGGATTGCTTTGTGTTTGTGGAAGATTACGATGCCTCACTCCATCTGCACTAGTATTCAACGACGTAGATGAAGCTTCTTGGTTTGTGGGTGAGGCAGCAATTGATCCAGAACGGTCCAAATTCTTAAAAATAAATAAGAATGAGGTTGGGGATCTTTTTGCCACAGTTACAAGACTTACTACTGTGTCTTTAAAAAAATCCCCTATTTGCTTTAATGTTTTGTCACAAGTTTTACTGAGAATATAAGCACCAGGCAAGTCTTCTGGGGTTCTATCGGTCCTGGCAAGCCTTTAGTAAAAACAGAAATTCAATATTGCACTCAGGTGCACATATAAGAAAAGTGAAGTTTTCAGGAAGACTCAACACTTGATAGACCCCAGAGAAAACCACAAGTCACTGGGAATCAAAGTTTCAAAAAGCTGAACCAAACTAAAACTTAATCCAAAGACTATTTAGCAGCAACAAGAATTCTAGTGGCTACCATTAACAAAAGTAACTACAACCTCCGGATATGACTTTATATTCAGAAACAACAGTGCCTGCAGTGGCTTAAAATACCATTCCCCTATTTGTGTGTTCAGTTTCCCCTTCTACTCATCACCATCTTCACTGTGCCAGCTGCCCAATACAAACTGCTGTGCTCACTGCTGGGAGGGGGCAGGGAGTGGGAATAGGGAGGTAACTAGGAACTACTTCGGCTTCCAGAAACACACCTAAAACTCACATGTTAGACCTTAAATGCTTTCCAAGATCAATGCTTAACCCTTCAGACAACAGCTGGCTCTCCTGGATTATTTGTCACCATTATATGACTGCAATTTGGCCATTGAGATGCATTATTTTAGTTTTAATAAATCCCCAAATCCTGTTGCTAAGCATTACTGTAATGTTTACTCAGTAGAAAATCCTCTTCAACTTTGACAACTCAGGAAGTGAGGAGCTGCAATTACTTAAGACATCCATATCACATTTGCCCTACAAAGGAAAATAAGAAACATTTACTACTAGATAGTGAGGGGACAACAAAAATAAAAAAGCAAATGGAAGAACAAAGGCCATTCAAGCTTTGGGTTTAGGTTGTTTCCTTCAAAGTATTATGAACTTAACACTGCATACTGACTGCTTTAAGCAGTCATTAATACAGTCATTTAAATACAACATTTACAACTGATCTACCTAGCAATAAAACAATCACAAAGGAGACCCCCTGTGTCCTGCTTGCAAACAGAGATATAAATACAGCCTTTGAAAAGATGACATAACCACTGTCCACTCTCTACTATTGCTTAAACTGCTCGTATTTCTGACTGTCACAGAGCAGTCAGAAACAGTATCCTATCGACAGAAAAATGAAGACAGACCGCGTGTTACTGGAAGGGTATTTCCCATATGCTGATAGTCCACACACCACAGATGAGAAGTACCTACAAAAGTATTGCACACATTCCTTTCTGAGTAACCTTCAAGGGTCGCTTAGTGATACTGCCAGCTCTGGAAAAAGCCAAGAGAATTACAGCGATGATGACTAAGTCATCAACAGAAACATTAACTGCCCTTCTGTTAAAACAGAGTACAAAGAACATCATTTCTGGAGGGTATGAAGAGGGGAAGACTCAAAACACCCTAAACAAGCGTTCTATGAACAGCTTAACTAATAAAACATTAAGAACACTTACTACTTCTGTTTTACAGACACTATGACTACCTCGAAGTTACTACACAAGTACTGGCTAATTCCTGCCAAGCAGACTGAACACTGTCCAAGCTCCATCTTTCTCACAAGGGCACTAATTTGACTGGTCTCTCTTCAGTGGTACAAGTTTTCACAAAATAAATCAGAACTTAGGTTGTTTTGTTTTGGGGTTTATTTGGTTTTGGGTTTTTTCCCCAAAAAATCTGAATGCACTGCTCAATTTCTGCCAAAGATATGGGGATAGAGAGAGAAAGGAAAATGTACTTTTTGATAAAGAAAAAGTGTTAAAGAATAGCTTAGAAAAAGTAGTGCTTTATCATCTAACAAACATAATTGTGTTACAATTTGAAAACGGTCATCTTTGTTTAAATAAAGTGACATACTTAAATAATCATGTTTAATTGTACAAACTCATGCGGCATACTCTGCTTTCACCACACTATTTCACAGTCAAATTTTAAAGATTAAAAGAGAAATTCCTGGAAAGCTTCCCTCAGTGTAGAAGAAATTCATGTCCTGTGTATGAAAACAACTCACTGAGCTACTGCTGGAGGTTGAAGCTCCGTGACCTTCTCTACTGGTGCTGGGTTTTGGAGAACTTGGGGGTGTCCGGGAAGTACATACCAGATGAACCATATGATATTCATCTTGCTAAAAATTAAAGAAATTGAAGAGCTAAAGCAACAATATTTGAGATATTTACAAGCAAAACATGTCTTTAAAAAAACCCCACACTTTCAGAGTTGCATTTGCAATCAGTAAGGAAACATTATACAAAATGGAGAGACCATAAAGTAAAACTTGAGCCTAGCACGAGTGAAACAGTAGACTTCTCAACTAATGTTTTCTCAGCAGCTGTCCACAATAACATATTGAACATTCACTTACCCCCAGTTTTCCCTAAAACTGCACTATAGCAGAATCAATGGAAGATGACACAGAGAAACATAAGGAGGTATATCATAAGCTTTAACTTTTATTTTGGAAAAATCTCAAACCCTTTACAGGGCTCAGTTTCCCTAAAGTTAAGAGTGCTTACATTTGCATTGAGATCTAATGAAGATTGTTATTCAATAAAGACATCAGGGTAAAAGAAAAATGTAGGCACTAGAATTCCACAAGCAGACCAAAATAAGAAAAACGTACCAGCCATTGCCTCCCCCTCACCCCAGTTTGAGCTTGGCTCAAGCCTAACCTGCAGGTGCCCAACTGAAGAGCCCCTGCAGATATTTCACACTCAGGGAATGCTACCTGAAGCGTTATATGGGACTTGAATATTCCTACATATTTGAAAGTAAGGAAGCAAACAAGTGGCACCACTTGAAGCCATGTCAGCATGCAAGTAATCAGCCCACACCAATTCTTCATTAGTGTGCTCCCCCCCCAACACAGATGCCGTAACAACTGCAATCTGAAGCTGTTTCACTGTACTAAATGAAAACACCCCATTATATCAGCATGCCTGAAGCTTATATGGCCATAGCAACAGGAACAGCTATGACTGTATGTAGTTGCACACTACAGCTTCCTCAGTAACCAAATTTTAAACAAGAAAAGCAACAACCCCCCCCTCTATCCTCTTCTGAAACCAGCATGGTGCAGTCTAGCTGCAGTTTTTAATGAGATGACATTTAGAAATACCAGGTTTGGAGGTTGGTTTTTTTTAAACTAAAAAAAAAAACACCAAAAAACCCATGTTAAAACACATGTTTACTCATTTTTACGTTTTCATCTTCAGGAATAAAGAAAACTGGATAACTGCTTTTATACACCATTGTGCATTACTGCCAGAATAGCCTGTCCACAGCCATTTAAAGTCCTCTGCACGTATCAGTTTCTAGCCCCAAGCACAGCCTCACTATTTCTTACTAGTTGGTGACAGTATGCAATGATCAGTCAGCACTGAATGCAGGTGATCAGCATTCTGACCACATCAAAAGCCTTTAACCTAACTAGTTACCTTATTTCCAGATAAGAACTTATACCACTCAGAAAGGTAAAGTATGCTAGACATATTACTGTAAGTTTACAGTGTACACCTTTATTCAATGTGACAGTTTACTGTAATATATTTCGATTTATACTTAACATGTTGGACACCACTATGCTTGAAGAGTGCCATGACTTCCAGCCTCAAGGTATTTCATATCAGTGAAATGACACTGCTCAGTCTCAAAGAGCAAGTATCACAAAGCTAAATTGAGAGATTTAGTAAATCCCCAGATAATATTAGGAATTTAGAGCTAATGAAGCAGGAAGATTATGGCAGAGGAGACTGAACTTAAGAGTAATCATACCTTTTTTCCAAAAGCTCTTAAAAGCTTGGGCACAAAAAATTCCTCCTCTTCCAACACAGTTTTTTTACTTTGTGCTCAAGACTGATGAGTATGTTTCTAAATTCACTAAATTTCTTTAACTAAACGCAAGGCCTATAGCTACCAAAATGCCTTTAAAGTCAAATATAGCCCCTGTATAATGAAGTTATTAGTTAGGCAAAGTTTCTCTTCTAGCATATAAGCAAGGTTTGAAATTGTGTTTTCTAAAACTAGTCTGCTGAAAGCAAGCTAAGTGAATTCAGACTTCATTTTGTCCTTAACAAGCAAAACTAAGCTTTGAGGTAAACTATGTAACCATTTTCATGAACTGTAAAGCGGTACAGGACATATACTGGTTGGCAATAGTCCAGCTCCAGTTTCCTAGTAAACGTATACATAGTAAATTTCAATCATTTTTTGGTAAGCAGTTAAATCCAATTTAATAAAATCTCTTTCAGAATGAAGATTATAAAGTAACAACAGTGTTAGTCTGCTCAAGCAATACTTAAGATTCCTCTGCATCGGTTTCTCCCTACTTGATATGGAAGTTCAGTTGCCCACTTTCACTAAAGTTTTATTCTCCTTTGGAGACTTTCCTCCATACTAAAAAGCGTAACCCGCTCTTGCAGTCTGTACATTGCTTTTTACCTTAGTAGATTACAAAAAACTATCGTTACCAACAGCAAGGTACTGTATAACAGAGTTTACCTATTTCATCGGATTGAAAAATGTATAATTGTTTAATGACCTAAAGTATTTTCCAAATATAGCTATTGGTGCATCCTGAACCCTTTACAAAGAGTTTTAAGACTACCTGATATAATGCTGTATGTTTTCTATTACCATCAAAATTGCAAAGAAAGTTCCTTATAATCTGCTCTAAATATCATCTTACTCTACACATTTTAAAGAACTTTAATAACTTAACTAAGTCTCTGTTACTTGGTAGCATCAATCCAAACTATTTGAACCAATTTGATAAACAAGTGAATGTATTTCAAGATTTCTTACATTAGATGTCATGTGTATTCAGGAGTTGGATTTATTTTTAATGTTGACTTAAGAACCCAAAGATAGATTAGTAAAATTATTTTTTCCAAGACAAACTAGCAGAATTAAAAAAAAAACCCACACAAAAAACAACCCCACATAAGAATGAACAAACTTTCAAACATCATCAGGAATGGTTAATAGCTAATGAATATAACCAGGACAACAAAGAGCTTTCCCAGCAAAACCATTCAGGGATTTAGAATTCTGGTTTTGCATATATTACCTTAATTTGCTTACATTTGCCATTTTTAATATAAGTTTTGATTTAAGTATGTACAAAAAAATGAACAGATGTCCCCAACCAACACAATATTACCTTAATTTGCTTACATTTGCCATTTTTAATATGTTTTGATTTAAGTATGTACAAAAAATGAACAGATGTCCCCAACCAACACAAATCTGTTAAATGATTCCATTTAGGTCACAGTGGAAACTGTCCAAAGAAGTCACTCTAGACTATGTATCACTTGCTTGGGACTTAGATAACCTACTTGCTCTCCCACCAACTGGAAACATGCCTCAATCCACAAGTATCACAATCCTACATACAAGGGATACTTGAAAATACATTTTCCTGAACATACCAACATTATACACTTACATCTCGCAATACAACAATGAAAATTTGAAGCTAAACAACACAAATCTAAATTCCTATTTCCCAAAAAGGGAATTTGATCAAATATCATATGGCATTGATATAAAGCTTACTTTTCTGAGAACATCTTTCAGCTGCAGATGATCAGGAAGCAGTCTGCCAGAATACACCAGTCTCTGATCCTTTGTAGACTAGGAGATGGGACAAAGAAAGGAATTTAGCTTTTTCCTGCTGTACAGATATACAGCTGGAAATAACAATTGCAGACGAGAAAACCCCTTATAATTCAAACCACCAATAGATAGCCTTAAAAACCATTTTAGAGGCTTCGCAAGTCCAACTTGCAAATTAATTCTGAAAGAATTCTGCTATTACGCACTCAGCAAGAGTGCCATAACAATTAAGAACACTTCACTGGCAAATGCTGCGCAAGAAAACTATCAAGTACATTCAAAAATGCCTTTCTTTTAAAGATTTGCTCTTTACCCTGCTCCCATTCCCAGGCATTAGCTGAAAAAGTAGATGGAAAAGTGGCTGGGGCAAAGAAAAACAAAACAAAACAAAAATAGTTAGAAGAACAATGGAATAACTGAACTATGCAGAGGGCACAAATTTAAATATTTTTTGACAGTAAATTTCTGTTATTAGTTCCTGCCCCCATCATGGCCCCCCATCCCCCACCCCCCAAAAAAAATCACCAGAGGAAACAAGGAGAAAAGCATTAAAAAGCAGGAAGCAGCAAAAGGATTTTTTTTTAAGGTAGCCTTCAAACTTCGGTAAGCTTTTTTGCCTGTTCTTATACTTCCACAGTTTAATACACCTTAGTAATGCAAACAAAGACTTTTTTTTTTTTTTAAACAAATGATGCACTATTCATAAGGTAATAACTTTTAACTATTCTACATGGAAGAGATAACAACAAAATTCTTTTTAAAAGGAAATTATCTGTGGTACCTATCTACAGTAAGATGTCCAATACAGTAAAGCAATAGGCAGTTTACTTGGTTAAAGAAAACACGCAAAAACCCCAACCCCACTCAATTCAGTTTATGCTGTCAGAAAGGGTTTTAAACAGTCTTAATACTAGCGGGTAACTAACATGCTGTAACTATGTGAATAAACAGCTTGCTTTTTTCAAAAAAAAGTTCCTTAAAATTCTTTTAATATGGATGAATATTTAAGAGAATCCAACTGATACATTCAACTACTGTTTGCATCCTGAATTAATACAACAGCATTTATCACTTGAAAGAGAGCACTAACATAAGCAAATGCTAAATGAAGAAATCAAGGCTAACATCAGTGGAACAGACATGCATTATCAGCATGAAATATTTGAAGAATTTCCCTATCATGCAAACAGCTAGTCTTACAACATCTCTCCTCTTTGTCTCCCAGCCTTCTGTTGCCCACTCTGCAGTCTTATTCATGCTAACACTAAGACACAAATACCTGAGATCCAGATCTCTGGGATTAGAAAAATCTTTCACAGAAGTTTTGACTTTTTTTTTCCCCTCTTGAAATTGCCTTTTACAGATTCCCTATAACTCAGAAAAACATAGAAGAGTTCAAGAACTTGTTTTTATCCCTGAAAAAGTCTGGTTCTATCACTAGAAAAAAACATTATATACACTCTAGGCAAATAATTATAAAAAGCACACATTAAGTCTGAGAAGCTTTTGCTTTAACTTCCCCCCCCCCAAATTCATACTAGCTGTTAATCATTAAATACATGGCTTCAAAAAGTGTATAATCTGCTACATATAGTAAAGAACTGTTCATAATTTCTACTGAAGAATCATTCTCTATATTCTTCTGCATTTTAAAAAATTAGCGTATTATGTCACTTAGTCTTACAACACAGGGAACTATTTATTTGCAGCTCTGATAGATAAAATGCTGCAACAAATTCAACATCATGCTGTACTACTTCTATTTATGTTTAAAGCAACAACACAAAATGCCTGACCCTCTCAGATTAATTTCTTTTGAACTGCTCATTTCGGCTGCTGCTTTCAAGCAGGAACAGTCTGCTAACAGAATATAAGCTTACTTGCATTTTGTATTTAGGAAAGGCTGCCTTAGAAAAACTAGAATTTGCAGCACGCATTGAGATTACAGAAGACTTTGATTTCCTGTAAATTAGAAACTTGTTGCTTTAAAACAACCAGTGGATCCAGAAGAAAAGTCTCAGAAACCTTGTTTCTGCATCCTGAGATTAATCTCCAGATAATCTATTAGAACAGATCAGCAGTTAAAACAAAACAAGCAAAACACAACAAGAACAAAAACCACCCCTAACTCTAAATCTTTGTACCATCATCCAACATGGCAACGGAGTACTGTTTTGCCACTCCAGCTCGTAATACAGTTTTCTACATGGTAAAATTCAGACTTTTCTTTTCAGTACCTTATACGAACCTCCTCTCAGCCCCATCTAATTAAGCACCTTCTCAAACACAAGTAATACAAATTATTTTTTAATATGAATACTTTAGAGAGAAACAACTGCTAGATTAAAATGACCCCTCAAAACTGACTACTACATAGCCTTCAATAATGTGTTTCAGCTCCCTACAAAACCACAGAAGAAAGTGTTATACATATGCTCAAGTACTGGTAGTCCTATTAAGCTAGAGACGTTAATGGGGGAAGACGAGGTCTTAAACTCCATACTCCTTCCTATGTATCTGAAATACCTAACTGTACATAAGGATTACCACTTGTGATTCTCAAGGTGAAAGCCATCCTAGAATTCTGAAATGTGAGGGGTTTTTAAATGCAGATGGAAGAAGACGTGATAAATATGAAAACACATTAATTCACATACATGCCAAAATAAATGGAAAAGTCATTCAACTCACCCTGTCAGAGGTTCATTACCACACCTCCTGCTTCAAGGAACAGCATACTCACTGCTAGCCCAAACACCAAACTGTAATTTTATTTTATTTTTAAGTCTTTTTTGCATCAGAGTGGCCCCATTTTCAGAAGCAAACACATAGCATCAGATAAAATGATTCAACAACCTAAAGTTTAGAAGTGAGGTGGAAGACAGTTTTTCAGATCATAATCCAAAAGGTATGTATTTAAAACCAAGAATTCATCAGCTAGTGATTTGTTGGTTTTGTTTTTTGTTTGCGGGGTTTTTTTCCCATTTTTCAAGCAAGACTCCTTCTGCAATGCTTAGTCCAAGTTCACTACGCCCAACACATTACCAAAACCACCAAACCTAAGCTAAAGCACCAACTTTCTAAAGAAACACATACAATCTCTGAGCTATCCTGTTTCAGCTACAAGACATTCTTTATTTTGGTAACTCAGCCTCTCTCCCATTCTTCCATAGGAAATAAAAATCCAAACCACCACATCTGGTTAGAACTGCGGGCAAAGTATATGCTAGATGGCTGGCACTAAAGGAAATGAGAAACAGCAGTTTTAGATTAATGTTTATGGGTGTAATCAATACAGCAGTTAGTGCACTGAATGTAGGATCTGCCAGACTGAGACATACAGGTTGATTTTCCAAGTTTTCTTTTCTTAAATAAAGATTTCATTTAGGGGCACTATAGCTGCAGTACTTGAGCTATGAAAAACTGTTCCAGTCAGGGGGGAAAAAAAAAATATTGATGAATGTGAACCTCACTATAGACCCACAAACTAATTTAACACTGATTTAAACCCATTTAGCTTATTCAGTGACTCACTTTAGTAAGTACACCAACTTTAATAACGACTAAACCAATTTAAAACTGCCTATACTTGGAATTTGTACATATTTAGCTAAGTCATTTCCATAAATTAATCCGGAAAAAAAATAAAATCACAAACACCACTGCCTCAAGGCCTAACTTCTCATTTGCCTATTTTAACCATCTCTTTTTTTGAAGATGGACTCTTAATAAATTGTAAATTTAAGGATATTTACAGTTACTCATCATTCTACCAACTCATTTACAGATACATATCAGAGAATGAGGTACAAGTCACATGTGAAAACTTGTATAGCAATGATAGCAACTGATTTTACACCCTTCATTTCAAGAACATTTCAGTATCTGTATAAAACATCTGTGTTCTTATGTAATCTTGCACTCTTAAGATAGCATTGTAATAGAAGGTATTTCCAGGACCTATCATGTTCAAGGAATATAGAAATTTGATTGACAAGCTTTTGATGCTGATCTGATTTAAAAAGAAAAAAAAAAAAAAAAAAGAGGGGAAAGAAGCTCCTAAAAGAACAAAGATTTAAAACAAATTTCAAAAAAAGCAGTAACACGTGACTTCAAAAATGTATCAAGCCAAAATACACTTTTCGATTTTACTATACATAGGAGATACCTTTCTCGCCTCCCACATTATTGCTTTAATTTGAAAGGTTCTATGAAATAGAAAACTAGTAACCGAACACAATATTAACTGCAAGTACAATAAATTCAAATTAAATTGGAATTACTGAGATAATTTTCACTAAAGAAACTTCCCATTCTTTAACTCAGAACAATTTTGGGCATTCTGAAGTAGTCATTTAATAATGAGAGCCACATTGAGGAATCAGTTTTCCACAGTAGAAAGATGTTCCAGGAAACTGAAATTTAATATTATGCTACTGGTTAAAACCTACAGCACAACATAAAAATCTCTGGTTCATTAAGGACTCTTCCAAGAAGCTCAACTTAGCAAGACCATAAGATGAGTCAGAAAACTAGTGTTTAAACACAAATACGTCACAGAAGGAGATTCTAGCAAGGAGGAAAAAGCAACAATCAGCTGAAGTCATGTATTTGTTCCTTTCACAGCAGATAGGCTCTCTCAGCAAAGAAGTACAGCAGTAACTAAATCCACAAACTCTCAAATACTGCTTAACAGATATCAACGTACCAGTGACACTGCCCAAGTTGTTAGCTCCTTTTCTTTTGCTTTCTCCAAAAGGCAGAACCCCCCTTTTAGACACAAAGCCACTATTTTGCCTTTTTTTGCCCCCCAAAAAAGAAATCAACAATGCCAATAATTCTTCTATTGGACTAGGAGAATACTAATCATTTACAACATAAACGCAACCTTTGTCTGATGTTTTCTACACCAGGGTCTAGGCCCCACATGCTACTGCAATGTGGAAGCAGTCACTTCTTTTACAGTTTTCTGGAACAACTTTTCATATATACTGTTCTGTATGACTGCCATTCTAATCAGGTACAGTATTATCTATTATTATCTGTATGTTTTTTCATAGTCTCTATTCAATTATCATATTTAGAACTTAAAATAATTTAGAAATAAATCACAACTTCCTCAGTGAAAAGATAAGCTTTTACATTGTTTCAAAATACAGTCACAACTGTCATACAAGTTTGCATAACATCTGAGAGCAGAGTTTTAAGCACAACCTCAAAAAAATGGCTTTTCAAAGAGGGAAAAGAGGAAATAATTCTGGAGGTTGTTCAACTAGACGTTTATTATTTGAAACATACGTCTGCTCCACACCCCAGTGTATTCGCTAGATCACAGTAACTTTAGCTTAAGTATTGTAATCAGACAGAACTCTCAGATTTATAGAGATTAGTCTTAAATTGAGTTGAGATACCTAAATTCCAGTTCCTAAAAAAAAGTTAAATGCAGCATTAGTAAGTGTGATCTTCTTGAACCATATAAAAGACCAGCTATGTATATTGCCAACTTCCCTGAAAACAGAGACCTAGCCGTTGCCTTTATACAGATAGCTCTTTGCAGTAGGGCTCTTCCTTGTTTATTTTGAAGACTACCTAAGCAAAGTCTTGATCGACTGCCCAGAAGTTACCGCAACGCCAGTCTTACCCACAAGATGAAGAAAAAGGGCTGGCCAACAACTCACCGGCTTACTGGGGTAGACTTTAGAGAGGTGAGATTTCAGCTTGCCCACAGTCCAGTCCAGAAAGCAGCTAATGGTCTGGTCGGTGTACTTCTGATTGGGGGCCTTGATGATGAGGGTCACCGGGTGATCCACGACGCTTTGGTCCATGCTGCTCCCAAGGGCGGCCGGCCCTGCCCTTCTCTCTCCCC